AAAAAAAAAAAAGAGTAAGTAGGAGATGTGCCTCTCAGCAAAGGAAACAGTGATGTCTTTAGCATCTGAAATACCCATCTTAAGTACTTGGAGCCTATCCTGAGACACACAAGACCCAACTCAGGTGGTGAGACTAGTGTTGTCCTCTGTGGGTCCAAATGGAAAACAACACAGTTAGGGTACAAGGACATGACACCTTAAAGAAATAACATGGTTCCCGATTAGCAACACTGGACAGAACATGATAGAGGGAATAAGCATCTCTAAAAAAAATTTTTTTTAAAGATTTTATTTATTTATTTGAGACAGAGAGAGAGAGAGAGCACAAGCAGGGGGAGGGGGCAGAGGGAGAGGGAGAAGCAGACTCCCCACTGAGCAGGACCCTGGGATCATGACCTGAATCGAAGGCAGACGGTTAACCGATGAGCCACCCAGGCGCCCCAAGCATCTCTAAAAATTGAAGAGTCTATCCATCCCTGGGGACGTTGGTCAGCATAGATGCATAGGACAGGAAACTACCCAGGATAAGGCAGACTGTCCCATACCAGTGCCATCCCAAAACATGGAGTCTTAAGCCAAGGGCTTCCATGATTCCGGTCCCCTTAGCAAGGCAAGGTGGTCCCTGCTGCAGACAGATGCATCAAGCTACCGTGACCGGATGCCACTAAATAGCCCGTTCCTCTAACTCTTCATGTTCCAAATGAGGCTCATCAACAACCCTCCATGCCTGTCTACTCTGAGGGAACAAATGTACCAGACAAGTGCACTTGGAGTTTGGAGTTCAGGGGTAGTCAGACTTCTCACTATTAAGTGAATAAACTGCCGTTCTGGTTTCTCACCTGGCTGAGGTGTGCCTACCCCAAGAGACAGATCTGCCATTGGTGTGTGGACAAAATGGTGCTCGTGAACATGCTCAGTTGAGAGCTGGACCTCAGACCATGGTGAATGTACCAGGCCCACCCAGGAGCACAGCCCTGCCCATCAAGACTCTGCTTGAGCTGCTTTCTCCGACACCCTTCCACCGCATGCCATCTTGGTCATCACCATTGTCCCGAAAGGATCCCTCACCAGATAAGACCAGTCATGTTCACCGTCCTCACCCAGCCCCCCTGCAATGTCCCTGTTTATTTCCTTCACAGCCGTGGTCTCCTCGTCTGTCAAATGGTAGTAATAATAACCACAACCAACTCGGTGGCTGAAATTATATGACCTTTAAGCACATGGACACTCTGCCAGTGGAAATTCTTCCCATCAGCCTGATTTTGGTTATTAATATGCCTTACAAAATACGAGGCTTCAGTTCCACAACTGTTTGGATCATTTTGCAAGAAATGACTGCTACTGATATTTTGAATTCTGTTGGAAATAAACATTTACTCCCTGGTTACAAATGTCACAGTTTCTGGAGCATTCAAGCAAGTTTTGGCAGAAGAAATGGTGGGGCTTTTTGGTTTTTTTTTTTTGATGAGTATATTTTTAAAAACTAGAATAAATTAACTGTGCTAAAAAGTAAAGTATGATTAAAGACCCAGTCAGTCCAGAAACAATATTCATGAGGCAATAATCTAAGCCCCCGCACACTGGACCAGAAATTCTGTCTTTGTTGCCTTTGTAAGAGTAATATGACTCATATGTGGAATTTAAGAAACAAAACAGATGAACGTTGGGGAAGGGAAGGAAAAATAAAATAAGATGAAATCAGAAGGGGAGAAAAACCATAAGAGGCTCTTAACTCTAGGAAACAAACTGAGGGTTGCTGGAGGGGAGGTGGGTCGGCGGATGGGGTACCTGGGTGATGGGCATTAGGAGGACATGGGATGTAATGAGTACTGGTGTTCTATGCAACTGATGAATCACTGAACTCTACCTCTGAAGCTAATAATACAGTATATGTTAACTAAGTTGAATTTTAAGTAAAAATTTTTAAAAAGAAGTAATATAGTAGTGTGTAATGCTCAAGTACTTTGTTCTTTAGTGCTTTTAGTACTTTTGTGTAATGCTTGAGTACTTTAGTACTTCAGTACTTCAGTACACTATATGTTAATTAAATTGAAAATTGATTTTTAAATAAAAAATTTTTTATAAAGAGTAACATGGTAGGGCGCCTGGGTGGCTCAGTTGGTTAAGCGACTGCCTTCGGCTCAGGTCATGATCCTGGAGTCCCGGGATCGAGTCCCGCATCGGGCTCCCTGCTCGGCAGGGAGTCTGCTTCTCCCTCTGACCCTCCCCCCTCTCATGTGCTCTCTCTCTCTCATTCTCTCTCTCGCAAATAAATAAAAATCTTAAAAAAAAAAAAAAAAAAGAGTAACATGGTAGTGTGTAATGCTCAAGTACTTTGTTCTTTAGTACTTTTTAGTACTTTGTTTTTAGTACTTTTAGTACTTTGTTCTTTTAGTACTTCTAGTATGTCCAGAGCACATCTCGTTGAGCGTTGTGTCCGCCATGGTTGGTCGGTGCACATAGTAGATGCTCAGTAAGTCCCTGCTGAACGAATGAACAGGAAGGGCCACTCCCTGATTGGGGAGCAGCGCTGCGAGGATGATGTGGCACTGACCACAGAGGCCGGCCATGGAGGAAGTGACTCTAGAGACTTGACAGAGGAGAGTTAGCCTGCAGGACCCCGAGATGTTCAGGAAAGGCACCCCCTGACATGAAAAACACTCTGTCGAGCTACAGCTTGTTCACCACTCACTGGATGGTCCTTGTTCTTTTGCAGCCGATCAAGATCTGCATTCTGGGTCCTCCTGCTGTGGGAAAATCCAGTATTGCCGAAGCCTTGTCTAAATATTACAAGTTGCATCACATTAAATTGAAGGATGTTATTTCCGAAGCCATAGCGAAACTGGTAACATTTCTACTACTTCACTGGGAATTTTTACATCCTAAAAATGCTTTTCTTAGTCTTGTAACAAGGAAGCCACTAATTTTACGTGGCATCCTGCAAAGAGATTTGTTATTTTAATTGGATTTTGGTTTTGGCCCCAGTTATGAAAACAGAGCATCCCACAGGACGTTCCTCTGTGAGATGGAAGCATCTTTCATGGGGTGCCCTTGAAATTTAGTCTGTCTCCAGCTGTTGCTAAAAAATATATCTTGTATGTTGACTGGAACATTTTTAGGTTTTTTTTGTTTTTGTTTTTTGTTTTTTAAGTAGGCTTCATGGCCAGCATGGAGTCCAATGTGGGGTCTGGACTCACCACCCTGAGATCAAGACCTGAGCTGAGATCAAAAGTCGGATGCTTAACTGACTGAACCACCCGGGCACCCCAATTTTTTTTTAGATTTTTTTATTCTTGATGTTTGTTTCTCAGAGTATTATCAGACTATTTATTAACTGCTTTAAAAGAAAGAGACTATTGGGTGCCTTCATGGCTCAGTTGGTTAAACTTCCGACTCTTGATTTTGGCTCAGGTCATGATCTTGGGGTCATGAGATCAAGCCCCTCACTGGGTTCCACATTGGGTATGGAGCCTGCTTAAGATTCTCTCTCTCAGGCGCCTGGGTGGCTCAGTTGGTTAAGCAACTGCCTTCGGCCCAGGTCATGATCCTGGAGTCCCGGGATCGAGTCCCGCATCGGGCTCCCTGCTCAGCGGGGGGTCTGCTTCTCCCTCTGACCCTCCCCCCTCTCATGTGCTCTCTCTCTCTCATTCTCTCTCTCAAATAAATAAAATCTTAAAAAAAAAAAAAAGATTCTCTCTCTCTCTCTCTCCCCTTCTGGCCCTCCCCCCTTGCATGCACGCATACACTTCCTCTCTCTCTCTCTAAAAAAAAAAAAGAGAGACTATTTTCTTAGAGCAGTTTTAGGTTCATAGCAAAACTGGGAGGTAGGTACAGAGATTTTCTACTCATCCCCTACCCTTTGCATGCATAAGCTCCTGCATTATCAACACCCCCTCCAGAATGGTTACATTAGTTACAACTGATGAACTTATACTGACACTTCATTATCACCCAAAGCCCACTGTTTACTTTAGGGTTGTTCTTGGTGTTACACATCCTATGGGTTTGGACAAATGTATAATGACATGTACTTACCATTATAGTACCCCACGGAGTAGTTTTACTGCCCTAAAAATCCTCTGTGCTCTGCCTATTCATCCCACCCTCCCCTCAGCTAACTGCTTTTTATCATTTTATTGGAAATGGTAGCTACTATGGTATATTTCCTTAAATGATTCCTGAAAGTCTTAATTTCTACAAAATGTGTTTCCTTCAAGTAAGATATCACCTGACACCTAGAAAAGTGTTGATTCTTAAGCAGTTCTGGTGTTAACACAGAAATGGATTCTTCTCCTAAAATAGAGTAAGAAAAACCTCGAGGCTCTCAACCATCTTTGTAGATACACACATCCTGACAACTTGCACAATGACTGTGGGTGAGCGTATTCCCTATTTGGACACCAGCCTTTTCCAGGATCGTGTGCCAGATGATTTTGCGAGTAGCAGATCCGTGCGGGGCGTCATCCAATTTGAATATCCCTGTGGTATGTAGGAGGCGATTGTCACACCTAAGGATGAAGGGGAAGAGGAAGAAGAAGGTGAGGAGGAGGAAGAGGAGGAGAATGTGGAAGATGCACAGGAGCTCTTGGATGGCGTCAAAGAAAGCATGGAGCAGAATGCAGGTAGCGTGCCCAGGTCGGGGCTGCTCTTGTTAACAGGCTTTGTTTCCTTGTTATAAAAGACTACTTGTTTACTATTTAAAGTACAGAACATATAACACAGAAATTTCAATCATAATCCCACCCCAGCCTCCCCAGGAGGAAAAAATCACCATTGATATTTGGTGACTATCTGATCATAGGATGGGAAAGAACTCCCTAAGTTAACAATAATAAAAGACCAAGTGTATAGTCATAAATATTTTAGAAGCATCAAAAATCATTAATTAGGGTGCCTGGGTGGCTCAGTTGGTAAGCTTCTGCCTTCGGCTCAGGTCATGATCCTGGGGTCCTGGGATCAATCCCGCATCCGGCTCCTTGCTCAGCAAGGGGTCTGCTTTTCCCTCTACCCCTCCCCCCTGCTCCTGATATCTCTCTCTCAAATAAATAAATAAAATCTTAAAATCATTAATTAAAAGGCAAAGGACAAACCAGGAAAAGATATTTGCCACTAACATGATAAAGACGTAATATCCTTAATATATAAAATGTTCAGGCAAACTAGTAAGAAAATCATTAGATCCTTAATAGAAAAAAGTGGATGAATAACATGGAGCCATAATACATTCAGGAAGAAATACAAATAAGTGGAAAAATATCCTTACTCATTGGGTATCTGTAAGCAGTTTGTTGAACAAACTCACTGGGGTGAGGGGTCACTTTAAACACAAACTCGGGACCCATTCTCTCCCCTCTCCCGCTTGCACAGAGTTTCAGGCTGGTTCCATTGCAACTCCTAGATAATAAGTAAGTAGTCTCTTTGTTCATGCTTTAAGAAGTCCATGCCAACCAGATAACTGCAAGCTGTTTTGAACTTAGACATTTCCAAGGGACCTGGTTACTTGGCAGAAAACCAGTGTAATTATTCGGAAACTAAAACCACTTCATTTTGATTTATGTAGACAGTCGAGATCCTCCACCAAACTGGTTTTACTGGTATCACCTATAGACTAGTCCAACATGTGAGCACTGGACTCTGATCCAATGGACTTTCTCCCCTCATCACCCCCTCAAGCACGTTTGGCTTCTTTCACTTACCCCCTCCTCCTCTCCTCTTTGCTGGTGGCTGTTTCTGATCCTCCAGCATTGGGCTAGGTGGGTGGGAAGTGGGGAAGAAGGACAGAGGCCTAAGCTGGGCCTGGGGACAGATGGCTCCTTCCTGGTGTTGCCCTTCACAGACCCTCCCACTGAGGACCGCCCACTGCATTCCTGGGGGCACAACTCTTGACTGCCCTCCCCACCTCTGGTCTTCTAGCACAGAGGCCGTTTGTCCCTCCAGGTGGTCCTCTCGCCAGCCACTCGGCTTCAAGAATTCTAGTGTCTCCATGCCTTCCTCTGAAGGTATCTCTCCCCCACCTCTCCTTGCCCCAGGCCACTCCAGTCTGGTGTTTAGGGGTGGAGAACTTGGGCGTGTATGCACACACTGGATGTCCACTTCAAACAGGTAGCTGATTATCTGTGTCTTGGTTTCTGCTTTGGTATGGGCTGGGCCAGGAGGAAATGGAATTTAGAATCCTGGAGATGTCCCAGAGGAAAAGGAAAGTACACAGAAAACCCAGTTTATTTTTCGAAAAGTTTTTAATTAAAAAATTTTACTTATTTATTATTATTATTTTAAAGTAAGTAGGCTCCACACCCAACATCAGGCTTGAACTCACGACCCTGAGATCAAGCATCACATGCTCTCCTGACTGAGCCAGCCAGGTGACCCTTTTTTTTTTTTAACGTCATCCCTGTGTCTGACACGGGGCTCAAACTCACGACCTCGAGATCAAGAGTAGCATCCTCTACTGACTGTAGAAAACCCAGGTTAATACTTCAAGAGAAAACATTGCCCCTGCCTCACCTATGAGATACGTGGGAGCCAGGATGCTGGTTTTAGGGAGACCACCAGCATCCTGGCTCCCACCACTTGGGGAAGGAGAAACAACCCAAGATAAGACATTCCGCTGTGAGGACACCTGGGGAAGGAAATCTGGCAAGGCCGCAGGAGAGGGTGGAGGGCCGGGATGGTAAGGAATCTACAGGTGTCCATGGCCCTGGGTGTATACACCGGAAGCCTGAGAGCTAAGGCCAGAGCAGGGCGCTGGGAGTGGAACACCACCACCGCAAGAGGAGATGGAAGAGCATCTAGGATTCAGGCTAATGGGATGAGACAAACCCTGGACAATATTTATTGGACAGAGACATGTAATTGGTCTTTGCAAGAACCCAAAAATCGTATCCAAAGTGTGTCGCTGCTCTGCTCAAGCTCAAGAAGGGCCTATCCTTGGCAGCCAACTCTGTTCTGCCCCCAAATGTAAAGAGAGGCCACTCTGGGGACACCTGGGTGGCTCAGTCGGTTGAGCGTCTGCCTTCGGCTCAGGTCATGGTCCCCGGGGTCCTGGGATCGAACCCCGCGTCAGGCTCCTTGCTCAGCAGGGAGCCTGCTGCTTCCTCTGCTTGTGCTCTCTCTCAGTCTCTGTCTCTCTCCCTGACAAATAAATAAATACAATCTTAAAAAAAAAAGGAAAAAAAAGAGAGGCCACGCTGGGTCAGCAGCCTCTGCCCCGAGGGGCCCTGGAAGGGGACAGAGGAAGTGGCCTGCAGCCACCCCCCACCCCTTCCTACAAGATTGGAAGAGTTCATTCAGTCCCCTTTAACCTTAGGAAGGTTTTTTGTTGTTGTTGTTTGTTTGTTTGTTTGTTTTTCTTCCTCAAGTTTGTCCTCAAATCCTTCCTGTTCGTATTTACCTGAAACTAGAACGTGGACCTTGATTATGTTTGGACAAAACAAGACCTCTGAGCTCCCTGCACAGACCTACATAGAAATTACACAGCCCAAGCGAGGACAGAGGTCAGCTCACTTTTCCCTCCCATGACCCAATTTGTTAGTAAATAACTCACAATTCCAGCGAAACCAATTTCACAATCCCGCAGTGGGGCACCTCCGTGTCCTGAGAATTCCACTCCAGTCGGCCCCTGACAATGCAGCCAAAATGGGGGCTTGGTTAAACCGGAACGCACCAGGTTGCTGATTCTTTGTGCTCACTTTATGTGTTTCAAAAGCATTGTGGGATTAATTGAAACTAGTTGGTGGAGGGCGCCTGGGTGGCTCAGCCGTTAACCATCTGCCTTCGGCTCAGGTCATGATCCCAGGGTCCTGGGATCGAGCCCCCGCATCGGGCTCCCTGCTCCGCGGGAAGCCTGCTTCTCCCTCTTCCACTCCCCCTGCTTGTGTTCCCTCTCTCGCTGTGTCTCTCTCTGTCAAATAAATAAATAAAAATCTTTAAAAAAAATAAAATAAAATAAAACTAGTTGGTGGAGTTCCAGGTGGTCATTGGACTAGTCTTTCAACTTTTCTGTGAGTTTGAAAATAAAAATTGGGGGCGCCTGGGTGGCTCAGTAGGTTAAGCATCTGCCTTTGGCTCAGGTCATGATCCTCAGGGTCCTGGGATTGAGCCCCGAGTGGGGCTCCCTGCTCAGCGGGGAGTCTGCTTCTCCCTCTCCCTCTGCTGCTCCCCCTGCTTGCGCTCTCTCTCTCTCTCAAATGAATAAATAAAATCTTTTAAAAAATGAAAATAAAAATTGGGGGGAGGGAGGACGTATGTAACTGTATCAACATCCTAGTGTCTATCCTCTGCATGGATTATTTTGAAACGTTGGATGCACCTATTTTTTGAAACGTGTTGAGCAATTGTGAATATGGATTCATATTAGCATTTTAAATATTACTTGAATGTGAAAGATAGACTTAAAAAAAAAAAAAGCAGGTGGTGTTTTAAAGGCTGTCCAGTAGTGCTGTGTTCATTCATTTCAAAGTAGAAGTGACAGTCCCCTTCCAAGGAGCCCCACACTGCCAAGGTCATGGGTGTATCTCTAGGAGGTCACAGTTCTCTAGAGAGAGCCATTTGAGCTTGGCCCTTTGTGTACCCACATTCCATAGTTATCAGAAACTGCTGCTCGAGGTCCCTTCTTGCATACTGAACACTTCAGCTCTGGAACAAACAGGAGCGAATGGCAAAGCTGGCTGGCTGAAATCAACCAAGGGATGCATGGAGGGGCCTGAAGCTTGATTTCTGAGCATGTATGTGCCTTTGCCTCAGCAACAGAAACTTTGAAAATCAGAAATAGACTGCTTAGATAAAACTCATCTTCGAATTTTGCTGAATCCCTCGACATTTTATTTGGCTTTATTTCTTTGCACCACAGTAAACCTTACTGAGAAATAATGTCAAATCATTTCGAGGAATTGCATTATGCGAAATAACGCCTTTGATTTTCTTTCTTTTTTTTTTGGTCTCAGCTCTAACATTTAAATTTCTGGAAGATGCAATTAGTTTTGAATCAGTTCCTGCCTAATGAGTTGTGTGGCAATGGGAGGTAGAAGAAAGAAGAGGTGTTTTAATGACATCATTTTATTGTCATTAATACAGTGATTAAAAGACACCAAAAACCCGGATGCCTGGGTGGCTCAGTCAGTTAAGTGTCTGCCTTTGGCTCAGGTCAGGATCCCAGGGTCCTGGGATTGAGGGAGTAGGACTCCTTGCTCAGCTGGGCGTCTGCTTCTCCCTCTCCCCCTGCCTGTGCTCTCTTGCTTTCTCTCTGTCAAATAAATAAA